TTTCAATTCACAAATGCACACTTGCATTGCCTACTAAGAAAGTTAGTACCGGTAGTCATCGGGTTAAACAAAACTCCACACTTTAATGTAATAATGTGCATTTCACTAGTCTGTGATGCAATCTTCTTGAATACATTATATAAACCAAAAGCTCATTTTTTTTTTCTTGCCATTGGAGTGTTCCTTGTTGTTGGTGTGAGTAAAAAGTATTGAAGAATAAAAAAAAATTAGAAATTTGAATCATATTAATAATTTGAATGAATTTGAATTTGTGGATGTTATTGACTACAAATTCTTATTTCCATGTTTCTTTAATTTCCTGATGTTCAGATTCTCCTCCATGTGAGTTGTCTTATTTTTTTAACTCTTGCTATGCGCTCAGTAGAATTGGCCAAGTTCGTGACCCCAAATAGTTTCCATACTATAACTTCTAATATGTTTTGTGTATCTTCATTAAATTTTGCAAGCTTTCATTAATCAGTAAGAGTCCTTTGTGGACTAGTATTTTCACTAAACATTTTTTCATGAATATATGGAGTCAGAGTGTTGACTGCTCTGAGTGCAAGTGATTTTCATGTTAAGGAAAAAAATACTTTTTTTCATCTGAAAGATCTCATATTTAATCTGTGTAATCTGTATTATTTTATCTGTTATTTTCTCTACCATAACTCTATATAAGGTTGGTCAATTTGACTGACCTCATAACCACCAAAAAAAAAACTGAAATAAACCTAAATTACCTTTTTTTCATTCTAAATTACCCATTATTTCTTTCAAGAATTACTTCAAATTATAACATGAAACTACGTTTGTCTATCCTAAAATCTTTAAACTTATAACAGTATACATCTGTTTATACTTAAATTTTATTATTTTATTGCTTTTTGAACCATGACTAACTGATATTCCCACCATAAAATTTGTAAATCACTTGGTGAACATTGAATTATATAACACATGAGCTACTTGCAAGTTACTTGCAAGCGACCTCATGAAAAATTGTTATTATTATTCTTATTTTACCTAATCGAACCTAAAATGTTTCTAGTTTTTACATTTTACTTACTTTTATAAGTAAAGAATACACATGAAAAACAAGAAATAAAGTACTTACATGGGTTTTTTTTTGTTGACTGTCGATGACACTTAACCCTACTTTTTTATACTAATGGTACTACTGCACTAAATAATTTTTTTATTTAATTAAATATATGCACCAAAGAACACAGAATAATCACATGAAAAGAGCAGACAATGTTCCATAACTATTACAATTTTCTGACTGTCTAACTATGCAACAAGAGCCATCAATGTGTTTCCCATGGGAAACAACCTTGAACTGAAAGTGAAATTTACAATTCTCCTTAGTGTAATATAATATGTCATTTGATAGATGACAACCATGGCTTTCTATTGGTTATAAATAATACAGTATTAAATGTCAGAGTGAACTATTGGCAATTTCTGAAAGAGAGGATGTGACAAGAGGGGTCTGATTTTCTATTTTATGGCTCTGTAACTAAATGAGATTGAAGGCTATAAAAATTATACTCTGTTTGAGCAATGACAATATTATAATGAGTGACTTACATTAAATTTCCTATTTCTAGGAGGGGTGGTAAATAAATTAGAGAAGAGGGGATGCGTAGAGAGAAAAATGTCATAATTCTCATATGAGGGGAAATTCAGGATTTTTTAATATTGCCATATAAAATGATTACCTTAAAACATAAATGCTGTTAAACTTTGGATTATTAGCTACATTTTTATGCCAAATGTATTTATATACTCTGATAAGAAATTAGTTTAATTAATTTTTGAATATAACTCACTAAAACCTTACGACTTGCACAGAAAAAGATGCCTGTAGCAAAATTGTTAAGGAGCAACTGAAGGTACTTAGACATTGTACAATTTTATTGTCATTGTACATCATGTGGTTGATTCTATCCTACATTTTTGATGTCAAACCCAGGAATTGTAGATTTCTGCATCTGTAGCTTCTAGTCTATCTTGTCTCGGATAACTTTGACCAACTCTTCTCACAAACTACCTTGACTTCTGGTTCTTCTACACCTGACAAAGATCAGGTTACACCTTTATTCTTTGCTGATTTGATAACTTGAATATATGAAATTTTTTCTCTAACTCCATTTGTTTCTGCTGGTTCTTATGTGAGCTTCTTGCTTTTGCCTCAAGACGATTTTTTCTTCCCCCTCTTTCCACCTTTGCCTAATTGTTGTATTTTTGCAGATTCTTTCTTTCTCAGCTTCGTGTTGAATTTTTATTGCCACGTCCTTTCTGAACTTCAAATTCCTTCTCTGTGGCTTGTGGTCAGAATACATCTCCTTTTCTAGAGCTATAATCTCTAGGTACTTTTCTCCCAGCAAGAGGATTGTTTTCTTAGCTTACTGTACTCTTTATCCTTTCATTTTGAGGCTCTGCATCACAACCCCAACAGCTTTATTGTGGAAGGTCAAACCAACGTGTTCTTTGTGCTTCCCCAATTATTTCTTCAGTATTGGACTATACCCCTCAACCATCATGGAGCTTGGAGATCAGCTGTTTCTGGAAACATCCATTAACTTTGATTCTATGGGAGCTTAGCATTTGTTCTTTGTCCACCAGTGGACTTGTTTACAGAAACTTGTGTCACATAGATTTTTATCTAAGGAACTTTTATCTTTCTTTTAGGACTCAAGCCTGTCTGTTTTCAACTGTGCCATGAGGGCTTTTACACAGAGGATGCACTCTTTGGTCTACATTTCCACCACTATATCAACACTTTGCATCTTCTAGTCCAATCATGGTAGGCATCACTTGCCAGAATCCCTGTGTCCTTGTGCTTCCACCACTTAAGATCCTGTTTCTTGCCAGTGTTTTCCAGAAATGGTTCAAGTCCTTCTC